TGGATCCCCCCACCCCAACCCAGCCTCTTGCCTCCCTGTGCACCGGCAGCCCCCCAGCATGCATGTGCTCCCCAGCTCCCCCTGCACCCACAGACCAATGTCCTGCACCTCCCACATGGCCTGGGAGCCTGGGGTGCAGCTGGCGACAGGTGCTTGTCCTGGCTCACTCCTTCCCAGGTACCACCCCCTTGCCCTGGTCCCTAATATTAACTCCCACGGGCTGGGCCCCGATGCTTGGATGCAGCTTGTGCTGCTGCAGGCTCCCCCCCCCCCAAACGCTCTCACCCAGCCCCTTGTCACGCAGGAGCGCTACGAAGCCGCCATCCAGCGGTCGGCCAAGAAGACCTGGTCCGAGATCCGGCAGCAGAGGTGGTCGTGGGCTGGCGCGCTCCACCAGGGCTCCCCTCGGCACAAGGATGGTGAGTGGGGGGCTCCCGTGCACACGTGGCTGGGCACAAGCTGCCTGGGCTCCCCGTGGGAGAAGATGGAAGTGGGATCCTTGGAAGTCTCCCCGGCCGAGCTCTCTGCAGCGACCCAGGCGTTGCAGGTGGCTGTGCCCAGGCTCACGTGCCACCGGCTGGCCAGGGTGGGAGGAGTGGCTCCCCTCGGCACAAGGATGGTGAGTGGGGGGCTCCCGTGCACACGTGGCTGGGCACAAGCTGCCTGGGCTCCCCGTGGGAGAAGATGGAAGTGGGATCCTTGGAAGTCTCCCCGGCCGAGCTCTCTGCAGCGACCCAGGCGTTGCAGGTGGCTGTGCCCAGGCTCACGTGCCACCGGCTGGCCAGGGTGGGAGGAGTGTGGGCGGGTTGCAGTGTCTAGGTAGGGGCAGGGGTGTCGGGATCCACAGGAACCTCCTTGTTCCTGACTAGCTGCCTTCTGCATAGCGGTGCCAGCACGGTACCCGGTGCCTGCCAGGGTCCCTCCTGGGGCAGCAGCTAGTGTGAAAAATCAGGGCAGGGGTGCGGGGTAGCAAGCGCCTGTCCAGGACAGACCCCAGATCGCGGGACTGTGGCAGGGGGTCCCCCTCCCCCCTCCCTCTGCTTAGGGGTGTTGCTCTCGGCGCGCTTGCCCTGTGTGTGGGCTCTCAGTGTCCTGCTGCCCTGTCCTGGGGGCGCCTCTGGCTGGTGGCGCCCGGTCACCGCCCCGCCTCCGGGCCCCCACGGTTCCTGGGCAGCCTGACGCTGGCCGGTTGTTTGTGAATATGGACACGGCGTCACCCTCTCTCGGGGAACGTGGCACGAGTGAGCGTGTGTGGAAACGGCACAACCGTCTGCTGCTGTTACCCGCCCCTGGCCGGAGACACGGCGCGGTCCAGTAGGTGTCTGGTCTGCCTGGGGGATGCGTTCCCTGCAGCCAGCTCGGCACTGCGCAGAGCACCGTTCCTCGCGTTGGCGTCGCCGTCTGGGGAGCCCTTGGTGGTCCGGTGGAACAGGTCTCCGAGTCGTTTGTCCACTTTACCGCGGCATCCCCCCCTGTTCCGGGCACTCAGCTGGCTCTGCCCAGGTCCCTATCCAGTAGGTGTCTGGTCTGCCTGGGGGATGCGTTCCCTGCAGCCAGCTCGGCACTGCGCAGAGCACCGTTCCTCGCGTTGGCGTCGCCGTCTGGGGAGCCCTTGGTGGTCCGGTGGAACAGGTCTCCGAGTCGTTTGTCCACTTTACCGCGGCATCCCCCCCTGTTCCGGGCACTCAGCTGGCTCTGCCCAGGTCCCTACGGCTTCCTCCAACAGGCAGGTTGGAGCAGGGCTCGAAGTGGGACGCTCTGCGCAGGGTCAGCGCTCCGGGTCGGTGGGCAAATTGCCCCCGCCTCCGGCACCAAAACGCAGCGTCGCTCCCATGTGCAGCTCCGTGGCGCGCCCCACGGCCCCCCCCCGCTCTGCCATATGGGCGGGTGAAATAGTGAAGCGATGTGTCTGGGCCGCTGAGCGAAGGGGGCGGTTCTCCTTGCCGAGCTGGGGGCGCAGGTGCTCTGCAGACTCAAGTAAATGTCGCGGTTACCTGTGGGCCGTGTTTCTGGGGTTCTCTCTGCAGCCAGAGCAGCTGGCGACTCGCTCCAAGGGACACCGGTGGAGGGGCTGGAGAGGCAGCGGCATGAGGGGTGGGGGCTGCTTTG